ATTTTTGTTGCTAAGCGTGATAGGATATTATTTGCAATTGAGCTATAGATCAGCAAAGTCAGAGACCTATTTAAATGGATTTTTAAAGGGCTGTGCCTCACACCACTACAACTTTCACCACCAGAGTAGAGAAAAATGTGAAGACTTGGGACCAGCGGTTGGCGTAATGGCTATGTCGCTGGACTCCCATGTAGTCGACTGCGGTTCGAGTCCTGGACCCAGTGGCTTAAACTCACGCCAGGCGCATGTGTGTGCGTGCCCAAGATCCCGAGAGGAGAATGGAGGAGAAGAGATTGCAGTGTGGCCATTCCCCCGGGGGGCGATTTCTCACTTTCTGTCTCTCTCTGTCTTACTGGCTAGCACATGCACCCTATAGTGAGAAAAACCTCTCAAAAAAAAAAAAAAAAAAAAAAAGTGAAGGCTTTTCATTTTGTTAAGACTCCTTTCCCCCTCTGAAAGTTTATGATATGTTGTTCTATTTTGAGAGATTATGTCGTGTCTGTGTGTGTGTGTGTGTGTATGTGTGTTTAAATCTATCAAGCTTCATTCAGTTTCAAATCTGATCATTCCATCTTTTAACCCCCTGTTCAGGTCCCTTTCGTTGGCAAGGATTGTTTAGAAGCTACAGGCTGAATTCGTATAGCAAGTGTGGACTGTGAATCCTCTTAACCACATGTTTTTCTCCTTGGTTTTCCTAAATCTTTACCTATCATTGTGTTTGTTTTGGTATGGGTGGTTTAATTACAAAATTAACTTATGTAGCTTTAGAATATCAAACAATGTAGTAAGACGTAAAAGTACTAGCCCTCCTTTATGCAGGTCTTCTGCGTCACTCCTTCATATAATCAGTTTACTTAGGTTGCTTTTGAGGCTTTCTTTTAGATTCAATATGAGGCAATTTTACTATAATGTGTCTATGTGTGGATTTATCATTATTTTGCTGTGAGCTGACTGTTGATCAGAGGACTTATTTTTCAAACTGTAGGAAACTCAGCTGTTACAGCTTCAAATGTTGCTTGTCTGACAATATTTCAATTCTATTCTTTTAAATTTCTAATAAGACATACTGAAGTTTCTCAATTTTTCTATCTATATATCTATTAGCTATTTGTCTCTATGCTTTCTTATCTGTGCTATATCCTGGGAAAAATGCTATCGCCCTGGTCACCAGTTCTGTTTTTCAAATGTGTGTAATCTAGAATTTATTCTATTATTTTACATTGCGATTTCCATGTCTTTTCTATTTCCAAGATAGATTTGTTTCTCCCATTCATTTCTTCTTATGGAACTTTGGCTAGTTTTTGTACTTTTATATGGCTGTTGCATCTTTGTACAACCTAATCATAAGTAATTTTAATCATAGCTAAAGTAATTGTTTAATGGCTCATAAAAATAATTTCTTCTGGGAACCAGCAGTTAGCGTAATGGCTATGTCGCTGGACTCCCATGTAGTCGACCGCAGTTCGTGTCCCAGACCCGGTGGCTTAAAACTCACGCTGGGCGCGTGTGCGTGCGTGCCCAAGATCCCAAGAGGAGAATGGAGGAGAAGGGATTGCGGTGTGACCATCCCCCCTGGGGGGTGATTTCTCGCTTTCTGTCTCTCTGTCTCTCTCTGTCTGTCTGGCGAGTGCACGCGCCCTATAGCAAAAACCTCTCCAAAATAATAATAATAATAATAATAATAATAATAATAATTTCTTCTGTGGCCCAGGCACAGTGGCACAGTGGCAGCACATGCTCTTCAACGATGGAAGCCATACTGAAGGACGAGGTTCAATTCCTGGGTCAACCTGTACATGCCAGGTGCCCATGATTCTGTCTGGCTGGGAAAGGCTGAGAGGAGGATTATGGCATGAGATCCTATTAAGAGTGCTCATCTCCCGCTCTCTCTCGATAAACTATAAAATAATCTCTTCTCAAGTAAATTGACATTCTGATTGTTGATTTGCTTGGCTATTGTTTTTGGTATTTTGTTTGCGTGTGTGTGTGTGTACTTAGAAATTTTAGTACACTGGTTCATTTCAACAAGATTTTTTAAAAATCACTTTTTCTCATTCTCCTTCTGTTTTGCAGTTGCCTAAATCCATCCCATTAACCACCACTCTCCATGGGCAGTTAGAGCTCTGGTGCCATAGTGATACCATGGATATTACAGATTCAGAGAGGCTGGGTTTAGTTCTTAGTTGTGAGGCTGTGTCGGCGTCCTCTCTCAGTAGACAGGACCTTCTTTCAGGGGCGAGTGACCCTCATCCTGATGCTGAAAGAAAGAAGAAGAAACTAGTGCCCCACATTTCCAAAATGCCTATATGTTCCTTATGGTTGGATGCATATACAATTTTTAAATAATAGTATAGGTATTTTTCTCTTACACTTTGTTTTTATTTTTGTTTAAATATTAAGATATGGAATATAGCCTTCTGTAAACATGCATTTGTTTGTTCATCAACAAATATTTGCTGAGGGCATACTGTGTGCTGGGTACTACTGTAGGTGATGGGGTATAGTTGTGAATCCAAATTCCTGTTCCTATGGAGCTTACACTCTATTGTACCAGGAAGAGATAAGTAGCACGCAAATAGGCAAATATAAAATTGCAGCAGGTCAGCAGATGGTGTGGAGGTTAAGGAAACTGGGTACCACATGACCAACTGTGCATTTCGAGTTCTAGTCCCAGAAGCTTGAAAGACACATCAGGCATGTGTTCGTGCAGGACCAAAATCCCCAGAGGAGAATGAAGGAGAAGGGAGTGCTGTGTGGCCATCCCCCCAGGAGGTGCTTTCTTACTTTCCCTCTCTCCCTCTGTCTCTTATCTGTGTCCAGCAAGCTCATGCGCTTTATAGTTAGCTAGCCAGCTAAATCAATCTATCATCTATCTATCTCTATCTCTCTATCTCTATCTATCTATCATCTATCATCTATCTCTATCTATCTAGCCATCTATCTAGCCATCTGTCTATCTAGCCATCTATCTATCTAGCCATCTATCTATCTATCTATCTATCTATCTATCTATCTATCTATCATCTATCTCTATCTATCTAGCCATCTATCTATCTAGCCATCTATCTATACATCTATCTATCCATCTATCCATCTATCTATCTATCTATGTATCTATCTATCTATCTATCTATCTATCCATCCATCTATCTATCCATCTATCCATCCATCCATCTATCCATCTATCCATCTGTCTATCTATCATCTAAAAATTGCAGCTACTATTAGTGTAAAAGCACAGTCAGGGATAAAAGAATGATGGAGGGTTCCAGTTTTAGGGAAGATGGAATAAGCCATGCTCACCCTGTTTCTCGAATTGGGTACAACTATAGTATAAACCTTGGGTGGAATACATGGAGAAGCTATCACTGAACTTTGAAATTAAAATGGCCCCAAAACAATTGGATGGAGGAACAGAATTTGTTGTCCCATCAAACTAGCCATAGATTCACCATTGTTCTCCTGGAATTACCTGGCGTGGCATCAGAGGAATCCAAAATCCAGAAGAAAGCACCAAGTGCAAACAGAAAGAATGAAAAAAAAGGGGGGGGAGGGACCAGCAGCTAGCATAATGGCCATGTCGCTGGACTCCCACGTAGTCAACAGCAGTTCGCATCCCGGACCTGGTGGCTTAAAACTCACGCCAGGTGCGTGTGCGTGCGTGCCCAAGATCCCGAGAGGAGAATGGAAGAGAAGGGATTGCGGCATGACCATCCCCCCTGGGAGGTGATTTCTCGCTTTCTGTCTCTCTGTCTCTGTCTGTCTGGCGAGTGCACGTGCCCTATAGCAAAAACCTCTCAAAAAAAAAGAAAAAGGAAAAAGAAAAAAGAAAACGTTTCTCTTTTTGGTACTCTGCTTTTCTTACAGAATGTGGGTTTGTTGATCCCTAGTCTTTGTTTGACATGTATAAGAATCTCATAAATCAACAAGAAAAACTGGTCAAAAGGTAATAATTATAATCACCTACCCTGTAGAGAAAATCAGATGTAAAATAAATATCTGAAAAAGATGTCGGCTCAGCCACTGACTGAAACTGGAAGCCACCTGCCAACTGTGGTTTGAATCTCTAGCCTGATTAGCCTGGAAGCAGTCCAGGTGTGTGTGTGTGTGTGTGTGTGTGTGTGCGTGTGCGCGCACGCGCGCACGTGCGCATACCCAGGAGTCTACTGGGCTGGAGCACTGAAAGAAGGGGATTGTGGTGTGACAGAGCCCTATGGTGGGGGCTTCTCTCTTTATTTCTTGTGTATGCTTATGTGCTGTGTTGTGAAAGAAAGAGGAAGAAAAAAAGGAAACAATTGTTTAACCCCACTAGTAATTTACAAACAAAGCAACAAGGTCCTATTTTTCATTGCTGCTCTTACCAATTTGACAGAAACTTCTGGAGATAATTCTCAATTCTGACTAGTTTCCTGAAAAGTTTTTTCTTTTGTTTGTTTTAGGGTGTATGTGTGTGTGTGTGTGTGTGACAAGTTTTTTCTTTTGTTTGTTTTAGGGTGTGTGTGTGTGTGTGTGTGTGTGTGTGTGCACGCACATGTGTGTATGTTGATTATTTTGTAAATATGTAGCTTTGGGTCAACTGCAGTGGCACAACGGTAATGCAGAGCTCTGTGATGCTGAGCCCACATGGGTAGGTCCCAAGTTCACATCCTGAGGTCTCCCAAATGTGCTGAATGTGCTCACATGCCATGATCCGAGCTGGCTGACGCTGGGGTGGATCACAGCATGAAGCCTTTGTAGGGTACCTGACTCTCATCTTGCTTTTGCTCTCATATTTAAATAAACTTTAAAAAGTGAAAATAAATTAATAGATGGTTTTAACTGCTGGAAGGAAAATGTTAGCAATTATATCGCTCTTTTTTTCTCTGTCTGATGTACTATATATTTTTTATAATGTAGTGGTTCATGGTCAGAACCATCTTCTCCAGCTATGTAGATACCTTTTGAGGACCAGCACTAGCCTATCGAGTGACACTTTCCTTTCCTTTGGTACCAATCTGTAGGTGTTCCCTCTGGCACATGTGTGCAACGACACAAATAAGATGACATTAATTAACCCCCAAGGAGTCAAGCTCAATATTTACAAGCAAAAAGTGGAGCAGGCAATTAAGTCCTACGAAAAGTGAGTATTACTCCTGGCTGCTGGTTAATGGGTCTAGACTTTATCTCAGCTAGTTTTCTCTTGTTTCAGCTTAGACTTAGTTTTTTCATCTGAAAGATGTATTGGGTCATTGGAAAAGCCATGACACATTTTTGCATAGAAAAAAAAACAAAACAGAAAAATAGGCCATGACTTTTCTAACTATCCAGTATTTGGAAATGAGTCCAGTATCAGCGTCAGTATTTGCATCAGCAGCAGTAGCGGCTAACATGGGGCCTTCCTGTGTGCCAGGCACTGCATTGAATACGTTACCTAAATGTTTTCAACAGAATTTTACAGAAACCATCTTCAGTTTCCAAACTCTATAGAAATCTCATATTTTCATGAGATCCTTAAGGTTTTCCTTTTAGCAGAGCGATTTTGATTACTTGACATTTAACATTCTAAAGTATTAAAATTCCATAGTAATAAGAAAAAGGATATAAGTACATGGTATTATTTAAATATTTTTATTATATCACACACAAGATCATGAACAAGTTGACCCCAGTACAAATCGTATTCTCAAAAAGCCCCTGCGACTCCTGAGACAGACGTCCCTCCTGACGGGCAGGTGACCCAGCCACCACCACCCGTGTTCATGCCCTCCCTCCCGCCCCAGCACCTAATTAATCCTTGGTGCACTGCACTTAAACTTCGAGCTTGCCCGGCATCTTCAGGCAAGCCTGTTCTTGGTTCTGGAAGCTGTGCGGTGTGTCTTCATTCACTGCCACGTGGATGGGAAGAATGAAATAAAGTACATAAAAGTTAATGATGTGCCCAGGCCTGCATTCACTTGTCTGCTGTCATTTTGCAGTTTGTCTAGTGTGTGTTCAAAGCAAGTCTAAGGCTCGATTCCTGCTCACAGGAAGCACAGTCCAGTACAGTCCAGGGGCAGGCCCTTCCCCACTGAGCCCATCACAGGCCTTTCCAAACACCCTTAAACTCAAGCCTCTTCCCTGCCCTCACCTGAGAGTTGGAGCTATCTTCTGTGGGCTCTTCAGCCTCCTCCCAGGCTCCTTGGCACGTCTTAGTCTTTTCCTACCCTTTCTCTTTCTCTCACAGCAGGACAAACATTCCATGGCTCATACTTCCCTGTGGGACTGAGACTTTCAGGCAGGCCTTTCCCTGCCTCTGGCTTTACCCTTCCTCTTCCAGTTATGCTACAGCTCCTCAGCTGGGTATTTCCTTCCTTCTTACCTCACTGCCCATGGTCCTCCTCAGAGGGGCCTGGGGTCTGTGGTTTGTTGACTGTCTCTGCCCCACTGGAACGTCAGCTCCCAAAGCCAGGGGTTTGACCGTCCTTATTTTCTCCGTCATCTTCTTTATTGCTTCCCACCAGGTACCCGTGTGTGTGTGTGTGTGTGTGTGTGTGTGTGTGCGTGTGCATGCATGCATGTACCCTTCATAGTGGGGATCAGCCTTTTGCCACAAAATGAAGTATTGCTACTAAACTATTATTGTTGATTTTTTTTTAAACAGGCGCTTGAATAAAATTGTTTGGCGAGCATTATCTCAAGAAGAAAAAGAAAAGTAAGCCATTCTATTCCTCCCCCGCTTTTTATTTCAGTGAAATTCACATAATTACAATGAACCATTTTTAAGTGTGTGATTCAATGTGATTTCATCTAAATGTTTTGCAAACCATTACCTTTCTTTCATTTAAATTTTTTTTCATCAGCCTAGGAAAACATCTTTTACCCATAAAGTAGTATTAATCTCTCTCCCATCTCCCCCACCTCCAGTAACCACTACTCTGCTTTTCTGACTCTAGAATTTTGCCCATTCGGGACTTCTCATATGAAAGGAATTATACCAGATGTGACCTTTTGTATCTGGGCTCTTTTTCTTAGCTAATGTAAAAATTTAACATTTTCAAGGTTCATGTAAGTTGTATAATGTGTCAGTACTACATGGTGTATATATGGTCTGTGTACATGTGTGCATGCATGTGTGAGCTTTCCAAGGCTCTCCCTTCCCTGGGGGGCTGCCTTCCCAGCAGACCTTTTCTTGCTTCCCAGCTTTGTTTCTCCCTTTCCTGTTGTGCTGCAGCTCTCAGCAGGGTCTTTCATCCTTTCTTGCCTCAGTGCCCATGGTCCTTCTCAGACAGGCCTTTACGTGAGCCTCAGCGCACTCCCAGCTTCTGCACAGGCCTACAGGTTGTTAGCTGTCGCTGCCCCCCTATACAGGGTCTTCAAAAAGTTCATGAAAACGTCTGTTATTAAAAAGCTATAGATTTCAAAAATGTTTGACCCCAAAACCCTCATAGCTTAGTTCTATTTTTAAAAATCAATTCCTTTTTAAAAAGAATGATTTATTTACGGTTATTATTATTTCACATGATTTCGCCAGAGAAAGACAGAGAGAGGGAGATAGTGAGAAAGGAAGCCTCCAGGTTCCAGATTTGAACTGTGCTCTGCAATGTGGGAAGTCCAGCGCCTCAATCACCACGCCACCTGCTGGCCCCACTTTAGTTCTATTTTACCATGAACTTTATGCACTGCCTCCCACCCCTACCACCATTTGTTTATTCATTCTTTCATTGATGGACATATGTATTGTTTCCCCTTGTTGATTATTATGAACAATGTTGCTATCTACATTTGCTAAAGTGTGTCTACATGTGTTTTCATTTCTTTTGAGTATATATGGTAGGAGTGGATAAACTGGCCATGTGGTTATTCTACACTTAGCTTTTTGAGAAACCATTAAACTATTTTCTATAATAGTTGCACCATTTTATATTCCTACCAGCAATATACAAGGTTTCTTATTTCCAGTCCCTGGAAGCTCCATTTGAACTGAAGGATTGCATTTTCTATTTCTGCCACACACACACACACACACACACAATAAAGCCATTGAAGTTTTGATAAGTATTGCATTGACTCTGTTCATTGCTTCTGAAAAATAATACCATTATATTGATTCCTTTGTGTTGCTATTATATATTCCTGAGACTGAGTGATTTATAAAGAAGTCTATTTGATTCAGAGTTCTGGTGGCTAGAAAGTCTAAGCTGAGGGCTGGCCAGCATCTGGTGCTCTGTTACAATGTGACTGAGAGAAAGAGAAAGGCGGGCAGGCACATGTAAAGAGAGACATGCGAGCAGCCAGGCTGGTTTAAAAACAGCCCACTGTCATGAGAAGTAATAGGGGGAGCTCACTCCCTCCTGGGAGGAATCAGGTCCCATGTCCCACACACCTCTCACAAGGCCCCACCTTCCCACACAGCATGAGTTTCTGTGGGAATATTAAAACCATAGCAGTTTATCTTAAAATGGAAGAGCATCCCATAAACACAAGATGTTTTTCCACTTACATGGTGCGTTTTTTTTGTTGTTGTTTTTTGGTTTTGTTTTGTTTTGTTTTGTTTTGTTTTGTTTTGTTTTGCTATAAGGCGTGCTTGCTAGAGAGCGAGAGAGACAGAAAGTGAGCAATCACTCCCCACGGGGGATGGCCATACCACAGTCCCTTCTCCATTCTCCTCATTCTCCTCTTGCGATCTTGGGCACATACACACATGCACCTGGCCTGAGTTTTCAGCTGCCAGGTCTGACACTGAAACTGGTCAACTTCATGGGAGTAAACAACGTAAATGTTACACCGTCTGCTGGTCCCCCACTTATATAGATCTTTAATTTCCTTCGGCTGCATTTCATATTTTTTAGTGTTAAAGTCTTAAACCAACCACCTCTGTTATTTTATTCACTATTGTAAATGGAATTATTTACTTAATTTCTTTTTCAGATTATTTAGTCTTAGTGTATAGAAGAAATTCAACTGATTTTTGTGTGTTGGTTTTATATTTTACAATTTTGGTGAATTAATTTGTTAGTTTCGACAGTATTTTTGTGGAATCACTAGAGTCTTCTATGTAAAAAAATCATGCAACTGGGACTAGCAGATAGAGTAATGGTTATGTCACTAAACTCACATGTAGTCTATTTCGGTTCGAGTTCTGGACCAGGTGGCTTAAAACTCATGCTGGGCACATGTACGTACATGGAGAGGAGAATGGAGAAGAAGGGGTTGTGGCATGAATATCCCTCCAGGGGATGATTTCTTGCTTTCTGTCTTTCTAGCGAGTTCATGCATCTATACCAAAAAATGTCTCTTAAAAAAAAAAGAAAGAAAAAAGAAACAAAAATAATAGGTTAATTTTTTTCTTTCCAGTTTTGATTTTTTTCCCCTTACCTAATTTCTCTGGCTAATTTCTAGTACTATGTTGAACAAAAGGACAAGAATGGGGCTGGCCCTGTAGCCTGGTTCTTAAGGGAGCCGGATCACACATAGCCAACCATTCCCAGCCCCAGCAGCTTGAACACTATGCTGGGCATGTGTGTGTGTGTATGCCTCAAATTTCAACAGGATGGAGAAATGGAGGAGAAAGGACTCTGGTGTGACCATGCCCATCCCCCCCAACACACTCTCTCTTCTAGTAAGCATATGTGTCCTCTGGCAATTAAAAAAAAAGGCAAGAATAGACATCCTTGCCTTGTTTCTTATCTTAGAGGAAAAACTTCCAATCTTTCACCATTTTGTGCTGCAGGCTTCATTATGTTTATTGCAGGCTTCATTATGTTGAGGTACTTTCTGCCTATTCCTAGTTTGCTGCATGTTTTTATCATAAAAGGGTGTTAACTTTGTCAAATGCTTTTTTTTTTGCATCAATTGAGATAATCATATGATTTTATTCTTCATTCTATTAATGTGGTATATCACACTGATTAATTTTCTTATGTCAAACCATCCTTGCATTCCAGGAATACATCCTATTTTTCATGGTATGTTTTCCTTTTAAGGTACTGTGGAATTCAGTTTGGTAACATTTTGTTAAGGTGTTTGCATTCAAAGATATTCTTCATGGATATTGGTCTATAGTTTTCTTTTCTTATAGTATCTTTATCTGGCTTTGGTATCAGTATAACTCTGGTCTCAAAGAACGAGTTTGGAAGTATTCTCTCCTCTTCAAGAAGGATTCTAAAGATTGGTGTTAATTCTGTAAATGTTCAGCAGAATGTTCCAGTGAAGCCATGTGGTACTGGGATTTTCTTTTTTGGATATTTTTGATTAACTGATTCAACCTCCTTACTAATTATAAGTCTGTTTATATTCTTTTTTACTTTTATTCTTAATTTGTTCATGATTCAGTCTCAGCAGTATATTTCTAGTAATTTATACCTTTCTTTTAAGTCAGTCAATTTATTGGTGTAATATTGTTCATAATAGCTGCTTATAATAATTTTTATGTCAGTGATAGCCGTTGTAATGTCCCCAATTTCATTTCTGATGTTAAGTATGAGAGTCTTCTTTTATTCTTAGCTAGTCTACCTAAGTATTTATCAGTTTTGTGGATCTCTAAAAAAAATTCAACCCTTAGTTTCATTGATTTTTTTTCTATTGTTTACTACACTCTATTTCAATTATTTATACTCTAATCCTTATTCATTCTTTCCTTCTGCTAACTTTGGGTTTAGTTTGTTCTTTTTCTAATTCCTTGCAATAAAAAGTTAGATTGCTAATTTGTGATCTTTTTTCATCTGTTGACCACTGTAAACTTTTTTTTTTTGAGAGGTTTTCGCTATAGTGCGTGTGCGCTCGCCAGACAGACAGAGACATAGAGACAGAAAGTGAGAAATACCCCCCCCGGGGGGATGGTCATGCCGCAATCCCTTCTCCTCCATTCCCCTCTCAGGATCTTGGGCACGCATGCACATGTGCCCGGCGTGAGTTTTAAGCCACCGAGTCCGGGACGCGAACCGTGGTCGACTATGTGGGAGTCCAGCGACATAGCCATTACGCCAACTGCTGGTTCCTAACCACTGTAAACTTCACCCTTAGTACTTCTTTCACTGTCTCATGCTTTTTGATATTAAGTTTTGTATTAAGTTATCTCAAGATATTTTCTAATTTCATTTGTGATTTCTTCTTTGACACATTGGTTGTTTAACCATGTTTGGGTTAATTTCCACATACTTACGAATTTTTCATTTTTTTCTTTGTTATTTCTAAGCTTCATCCCATTTTGACTTTAAAAAAAGATACTTAGTATGTTTTCAATTTTTCTTAAAGTTTTTAATAATGCTTTATGGCCTAACATGTCTATTCTGGAGAATAGTCTATGTACATCCAAGAATAATATATGTTCTGCTGTGGTTTGGTAGAGTGTTCTGAATATATCAGATAAAATAGTCTATGTTTCTTCAAGTCTCCTGTTTCCTTATTGATATTCTATTGGGTTCTATCCATTATTTAAACTGGAGTATTTAGTCTCCTACCATTATGAGTGGATTGCTTACTATTTCTCCCTCAATTTGATCAAAATTTGTTTATATATTTGGGAATTATGATATTATGTGCATAGATGCTTATAATTGTTATATCTTCCAATGAACTGATCCTTGCCATTATATGATGTCTTTTTTCATCTCTTATAATAATTCTCAACTCAAGATTTACTCAAGTTCACTGAATTTGTTTGTTTGTTTGTTTGTTTGTTTTTTGAGAGATTTTTGCTATAGGGAGTGTGCACTCACTGGAGAGACAGAGATGGAAAATGAGAAGTCATCCCCAGGGGAATGGTCATGTTGCAATCCCTTCTCCATTCTCCTCTCAGTATTTTTGGCATGCACACACACGCCTGGCATGAGTTTTAAGTTGCCAGGTCCAGGACTTGAACCATGGTTGACTATGTGGGAATCCAGTGACATAACCATTATGCCATCTGGTGGTCCCTCCTCCATTGAATTTCAATTCAGTTGTTGTATTCTTTAGTTCTAGACTTTCTGTTTGGTTCTTTTTTTTACAGTTTCTTTTTTGTGGTTATTCTCATTTTGTTCATACATTACTTTTCTGATTTCATTTAGTTGTCTGTGTTCTCTTTTGTCTAATTGAACATCATTAAGATGGTTGTTCTAATTTCATTGTCAGACACATCATATATCTCCATTTCTTTAGAATCAATTTCTGGAGGTTTTTTGGTTTTTTTTTTCCTTTGGCTGGGCCATGTTTCCTATATATTTGTATGCTTTGTGACCTTCAGTTGAGATTAGGGCATTTGAAAACACGACTACTTCTCCCAGTCTTTACAGATTGGCTTCTCGTAGGGGAAGATTTTCACCAGCTAGAGAGCCTATGGATCCTTCAACCTTTTCTAATCTTCTCTGGTCTGTGTATGTATTCCCAATTAAAGAGATTTCCCCTGTTTCTTATGAGGATCCAGTAATGTCTTGTTCTTCTTGATATGTCTCTGTAGTAGTTCAGTGTTCTGTGGCTATAGCACTCATATTTGTTCTCAGCAGTCCCCAAACTGTCATCTAAAATATACCACTTTTCTCAACAGCACTCCGAATCAGACAAGCAGATGTTTCAGTTCCTGAAGCAGCCCCCTCAAAACAAGAATTTTGGATGCACTTTCCACTCTTTTTTCTTCCAAGGGAGAATCTAGAATTTGAAAGTTTAATTGCAATTGCACTACACTATTACAGGAAGGGTGAGGGACTAAGGCAGGCAAAAGGCAGCAAATTTTAGTACCTTCATTTATGTGACTTCTTAGCCTTGTACTTGTCTGAGGTGCTGCAACCTCTCACAATTTGTTGCTGGAATTCTCCCAGAAGTTATTTTGTCTGTATGTTGTTGTAAGTCAGTATCTCTGTGGGGAAATGAGGATATTTTTATTCCACTTCCTTGTTAACATTCATTCCAATTTAGGTTTTTCTTTTTTAAGAGTTGAGGGTTTTTGTTTGTTTGTTTGTTTGTTTTCTGTATGGCATGTGCACTCACTAGAGAGACAGAGAAGACAAAGAAACATAAAGTGAGAAATAAACTTCCAAAAGGAGATGGCCATCCTGCAATCTCTTTTCCCCCATGCTCTTCTTGGGATTTGGGGCATGCATGCACATGTGCCCGGCATGAGTTTCAAGCCACCAAGTCTGGGACTTGGTCATGGTCAACCAAGTGGGAGTCCAGCACCTTAACTACTATGCCACCTGCTAGCCCCCAATTAAGATTTTTAATAAGAATTTTTTTTTTTTTTTTTTTGCTTTTTTTTGGAGAGAAGTTTTGTTTGTGGATCGAGTCGTCTGATTGTCCTAAGTTAAGATAGTACGAAGAAACAGAAAGTGAGAAATCACCCCTCAGGGGGAATGGCCACATTGTAATCCCTTCTCCTACATTTTCCTCTTGGGATTTTGGGCGTGCATGCACACATGCCCAGTGTGAGTTTGAAGCCACCAGGTCCAGGACTCAAACTGCAGTCAACCAGATGGAGTTCAGCGCCTTAACTACTAGGCCCCTATTGGCCCCATAAATGGTCCTCTTCTAACCTCAAACATCTAAACAGAGTAAATGATAATTAGAGTTATAATTATGAATGTTTTCTTTATTTCTATTCCTCTTCTTTCTGTAGTATTTGACTCAGAAGCAGCTGGAACTGGAAATAAAATCCATAACCTGGGCCATTATATCACGCTAGCTTCCCCTGGAGTCTGACAGCTTGCTTAATAGTTCGTAGAAAGTTTGACTTCTTACCCAGCAGATGGTATAGTGGTTAAGGCTCTGGACTGCCACATGACCGACCATGGTTCAAGACCCAGACCTGGCAGCCTTTCTCATTTTCTCTCTTTCTCTCTCTCTCTCTCTCTCTCTAGATTGTATATGCCCTATAGAAAAATTTTTAAATAATAATAAATAAAATAATTCTTAAAAGAAAGTTTGACTTCTATTCTTTGTGCACCAAACAAGGCCAGAAAGTTGAGGCCTATTTAGTCTTACAAGGAGGAAAGAAGATCAAAATAGCTAAAATGAGCTAATAAAAGAATTATTACATGAAGCAAATATTTAGATTTTGTTTTGCTTTGATTCACTTTGGTTTGTTTTCCATAGTCACTGCTAGGCATAGTTGTGTGAAATTTCTTTGAAGATTGTGTTTGCTTAGCCCTAAGGAAAATTCTGGGAAAAAAAAAAAAGAATTCATGCGTATAAAACTTATTTAAACTAGGAGAATTAAATGAGTTAATAGGAAAAAGTACCTGCCATAATTCACAGATTATTTCTAACCTATGCAAGCACCCGAAGTTCTGATGGATCAGAGGGCATGGCTGCGACTCTCTCTGACATCAATACTAACTTCGAAAGATGTTTCTTAGGAGATGGTCTACTGAGATGCCATCTTACCATCATTTTTCTATTGTTATTTTCTTTACTTTTTATTTCTTCTTTTTCTTTTTTAGGTTAAATGCAAACAGACCAATACAGTACTTGGAAAACAAGGCAACCTTAAACAGGGCATTAGAACGATTGAATTGGCCCATTTCATTGAAAGAGCTGTCAGTACTGGAAAATGAAATCCTAGCTGGGAAAAAGTATGTCCAGGAGGCCATGGAACTCCAGGAAGCTCTTAAGAAGAATTATGTGAATAAGACACTGGGAGAGGTGGGTACCATAAAGATCTCTGTATTTCCTCCCTCCCTGCCTGTCTCAAGTCATTGCCACCCTGCCTTGGCCTTCCTTTATTCTCTCCCACCCTCCATCACATAGATTTCTACAAGAGTTAAAGCCAGTCTAGTTAGTATCAGTACTTTTTTTTCCATAAAGATAATGCCATTTGAGTTTAACATGGCCTTATTTGTTAAAATAATTATTATTTGTTTAATTTTATTTATCATTATTATTTTATAATTTGACTGGGGAGGGGGGAGTGAGAAAACAAGCTGCCTGGTCTGAAACTCAAATAGCGTTGGCCCTGTGGGAGTCCAGCACCTTAACCACCACACCACCCGCTAGCACCACCATGGCATTATTTTTAAAAGAACAAATATTTTAAGTGAAAAATAAAATTAAACAGAAGCATAATGTAGTGATTAAAAGCCTGAACGTTGAAAGGAGCTAGACCAAGATGTGGCCTCAGATCTACCAACTAACTTCTGTGTGATTTGGCTACTCAGTCTCTTTAAACCACAATTTCCTTGCCTGTAAAATACAAGTATTGATAACATAGGCTTATTATATGGATAAAATGAGTACCTACAGTGCCTAATATGGTAAGCCCCCATATGTGTTCGCAGTTATTATCAGTAATAAAACAAACTTCCTGGGACCAGCAGATGGCATAATGGTTACATTGCTGGACTCATATGTGGACAACCACAATTGAATCCCAGACCCGGTGGCTTGAAACTCATGCCAGGTGTATTTGCGTGCATGTCCAAAATCCCAAGAAGAGGATGAAGGAGAAGGACCATCCCTCATGGGGGGTGGTGGTGGTGGGTGATTTCTCAATTTCTGTCTCTCTGTCTCTCCAGTGAGCATGCACGCCCTATAGCAAAAAAATCCCCCCCCCAAAAAACTTTCTATTATAAAAAAAACTTTATTGCTAGAGGTGTATGTGCTTTCGAGAGAGAGAGAGAGAGAGAAAGCAACCACCCACACACACATAGTGGGGTATAGTCATGCCACAATCTCTTCTCTTCCTTTTCTCCATCCCATTAGGATTTGGGGCTTGCATGTGTATGTGCCTGGTATGTTTTTCAAGCCACTGGGGATTCAAACCATGGGCAACTATATGGTTTCCAGTTCCCTTAGCCACTAGGCTAAGTGGCTGGCCCAAAGAAAATGATTATTTATAATGATTGTTTTCTACCTACCATTTGGGAACATTTCCTTTTAGTTTCTTTTTCTTCCTCAAATATTTTTTACATAGATGCAGTCAAAGTATCCATAAGGGGGTCAGCAGGTGACATGGTGGTTAAGTTGCTGGACTCCCACATGGCTAACCATGGTTCAAGTCCCGGACCTGGTGGCTTGAAAATCATGCTAGGCATGTGTGCATACATGCCCAAAATCCTGAGGGGAAAATGAAGAAGGGGTTGTGGTATGGTCATCCCCCCTTGGGAGTGATTTCTCGTTTTCTCTTTCACTCACTCACTCTCTCTCTCTCTCTTTCTTTCTGGCGAGTGCATATGCCCCATGACAAAACACTTTAAGAAAAAAAGTGTCCACAAGTATTTTATGTCCTGCTTTATAACTTAGTGTTATTTCATAAACTTTATCTGTTTTTACTAAATTTTTAGATCAATACATTTGGTGGTTACATGATATTCCATAGTGTGTATATATACCCTGAATTATTTGTTATTCATTGAATGTTGGTCATTTTCCAATTTTCTGCCTTTCACATAATGTTTTCATGTTGCTCATGTGTATTGAATTATTTTGTTAGGATAGTCTTAGGAGTGGGATTCCTGGGTCAAAGGGCATGAACATTTAGAGACTCTAAATAGGATGTGGCCAACATAACACCCTCCTCTCTGATTGTGCATGAGCATGTATGGACACATCCAAAATCCTACTGAAATCTATGTAGTTTTTGTATACTCACCATACATATATGATAATCAAAGTCATTCTAGAACATATGACCTTTGAGGTTCATCCTTTTAGTTTCAGTCTTTACTAAGTGATACTGAGTTTGCCTAATTTTAAATTCTGCATTTGCTGTTCTAGCTTTTTGTACTTTTTTTGTTGTTGTTCATGTGTGTGATGCTTTTTCTTTCATTTTATTTTTCCTCTGCAAATCACATTTTTTTTCTTTTGATATAAAGAGCTATGTCTTGGGACCGGCAGTTAGCGTAATGGCTATGTCGCTGGACTCCCATGTAGTCGACCGTGGTTCGAGTCCCGGACCCGGTGGCTTAAACTCACACCAGGCGCATATGCGTGTGTGCCCAAGATCCTGAGAGGAGAATGGAGGAGAAGGGATTGTGGCATGGCCATTCCCCCCTGGGAGTGGGGTGTGATTTTTTGCTTTCTATCTCTCTTTCTGGCAAGCGCACACATCCTGTAGCAAAAAATCTCTCCAAGGGGGGGGGGGAAGGGCTATGCAAAATCTTGTCACAAAACATCATATATCTATTATTCCTCCAAGAATAGCTCAGTGTTTCCTTGGGACGCATCCTCTGATTCTAAACATTTTTTATGTCCAGATGCCCCGAGAGTACCTAAGAATTAAAAAGACTGAAAGTGAATTACCTGTTTCTCTCTGAAAATGTGCTTTTCCTCTCTGTATTTCTTCCTGTCTGGTTGTTATCTTAGTCATTGAAATATTTATGAGTGCCTTCTGAAGTGCCAAGTATCCTTGGAGGATCTGGAACACAGCAGATTCTGCCGTAATTGCAGCAGGGGAGACAGACCATCCCTGGCCCTAGATGATGATCTTTCCTAAGAGCAGAATTTGCTAGCATTATTCTCTTATCTGTACTTATATTACATTCACAAATAGGAATTATTGTTAATGGAGCCTCTTGTGATTCAGAACAAAGACAGCATGTTCTACTGAATTTGTCTGGAATTCTGGCAGCCCAAAGGTCAGGATTCACAGGATATGAATTAACTTTTCTATTTCTTTATTCCTTTCCCGCAAAGTGGTAATAAAAATAATCTTCATAATTTCATCATCTGAAAGTACCTGTTTATTCCCTACCGTGTGTGAAGTTCTGTGCTTGGCGTGGGTGGTCTCGGGCATAGAGTAGCTTGTCTCATTCTTCCCTCTCCTTGGGCTCTTCCAAGTCAATACCATATACTGTGTACAAAATGGTGCTTTGTGAACTGCTTTGAAGACATGGCCTCGCACAGTGAGGAGACATATGAAGGGTCGTCAAAAAACCTCATGGAAAATACAGATTATGGAAGAATCGTGCATAGCTTTCAAAAAAAAATTTGTACCAAAATAAACTCAGTTTAATTCCACTTTCCATGAACTTTCCGAAGCCCTCTCCTATTGGAGAAGAACATAACCTTCATGAAAGCTGAGACTTTGTCTGCTCTTAGTGGCTGAATCAGCAGCAGCAAGAGTGGAGCCTGGCACAGTGGGTGTTCAACAAATATGTGTTGAGTTAATGAAACCTCAGTCTTTACAGCAGAGTGTTATAAATGTGACAGCAGAGGCACACCCGCAGAACTGAGGGTTATGGGAAGAAGTGACTGATTCTGACTGGGCACTTGGGGAATGTGTCACAGAGCAAGGTCATCCAGTTTGCCCTTGAGGAGCATATAGGAGTTGTGGGTTGGGATATGAAAAATGTTCTGAATGAAAGAAACAGCCTATGAAAAGGCAGGGAAAGGGACCAGCAGTTAGCATAATGGCTATATCACTGAACTCCCACGTAGTCAACTACGGTTCGCGTCTCAGACCCGGTGGCTTAAACTCACGCCGGGCGCGTGTGCATGCGTGCCCAATATCCTGAGAGGAGAATGGAGGAGAAGGGATTGTGGCATGGCCATCCCCCCAGGGGGTGATTTCTTGCTTTCTCTCTCTCTGTCTCTCTGGCTAGTGCACGTGCCCCATAGCAAAAAACCTCTCCGGGAAAAAAACAAAAAAAAAGTCAGGGGAGTGGAAAAGAATGTCAGGTGTTCACCAGAGGGCAGGGCAGGAGAAAAAATGGGAGAGGGAAGAAGGCATCAGAATTGGAGGGAGTTGGAACTCTCTGCTGGGATCAGGCCTCAGGCCTATAGAAAATGGATATCCAGGGAGAGGTTTTCATCCAGTGGAAGATACTAACAGATTTCTGTCTTAGAAAGACTATTTGTGCAGCAAGGTGAGACCCAGCATAGAGAAAAGACCAAACTCAGAGGCAACACTCCCACTGAGAGGTGTTAAGTTCTTGAGCCAGGTGAGAAGGGTGGGAAGGGAACAGGCAGAAAGGCAGAAGTTGAAGGGAACAGGCAAAAAGGCAGGAGTTGATGGAAAGCTGAATGTGGGCTAAGTCAGAGGGCAAAGGTGGAGATCCCCGTAGTATTTCCATCGTGGAAAACAGAGAACAGAGGCACTACTAGTCCCTTCTTCCTGCTTCTGCTCCTTAGGGAGGTAAGTTCCCTGGCCAGCCCATCTACACATGCTGTCATCGTCTGACCCACTGCTACTCTTTTGTTTATTTCACAACACATTTCACTATCTGATATGTATGTCTTTGTTTGTGGTCCGTATGTTCACTAGAATGGTAGTGGGACTCAGTCCATTGGGTTCTAGGTGTTCCCAGTACCTCAAATGGTGGTTGGTACCTCACAGGCAATTGTTAGTATTTCAGTGAATACATGAAAGAATGAACAGAGAGGAAGAAGCACAATGAGAAGAAGAGTAGGGCTGTCAGAGAAATAGAATTCATTTCTGTCCTCTCAACTCTAGATGGTCACAGGGCATCTAGGTAAGAAAAGTCAGTAGACTGTAGGACCAGCAGATGGTGTAATGGCTATGTCACTGGACTCCCATGTAGGCAACTGTGGTTCGAGTCCAAGACCCAGTAGCTTAAACTCACGCCAGGCATGTGTGTGTGAGTGCCCAAGATCGTGAAAGGAGAATGGAGGAGAAGGGATTGTGGCATGGCCATCCCCCCTGGGGGGTGATTTCTCACTTTCTGTCTCTCTGTCTCTGTCTTTCT